ATATTAATATTATAGAACTAAAATTATACACATATGAATACCTGATATCTATATACTATAAAATATCTGGTACTGAATAGTATCATTATGAAATATATTTGTAAAGTTTTATAAGATATTAATACATTTTACTATGTAAAATGTAAATTGTTTTCTTATATTAAAAAATTAAGATCCCACAAAGGAAATACAAAAGTTAAGAGTATTCTGGAAAAGTCTTTGAATCACATAAATATCCAGTGAAAGTCATCAACATGGAAACAGCATTTCACAACAGTTAAACGAGTGACAGAATAGATAAAATGGAACAAACAATATAAACTAGCAAGTAAAGAGAGAAGAAATATAAGAGACTAAAAATATATACAAAGTTGTTTGCCTCATTAGTAGGCAAATAAATACAAATAAATATAAGTAAAATTTTAATTAGTGGTTGTTATCTATGAATTTGAGAAGTTTTAAAATATTAAATTTCTAATTATTAAGGATATACATATTCATATGTTGGACATAGAAGCCGGCATGTTTCCAGAAAGAATCTTTTCATTATGATTCAACATCTTAAAAATGTGTTACAAGCAATTCCATATCTAGGAATTTACTCAAAGGATGTTTTAAAGTATGTAACACATCACCTATGAAAATACTGCCTACCAACTATGCATTGACTAATTTACCAGAAAATAATTTAAATAATTTCTATGTGTAAATAATTAAAATTAGATGTAAAATTTTAAATTAGGGAATATTTAGAGTCCTAAAATAATCCATAACATAAAATCAGATGGATCTAGGTATTGAAAAAATAGTGGAAATATACATCAAATGTATATTGGTGTGGAATTTACATCTTCTGTACTTTTGAAATTTTCCTCAATGAATCTGACATGCTTTCATCAAAGGCATAGCAGAATATGTGAAGATGCCTAAAAGAAATCTGCTAGTTGTGCCCCAAAACTTTTATCTGGAGCAAGCTTATTGGATAAGATGTCTATTAATAGGAAACAAAAATGAATGCATTAAACTTTATATTCAAGAATTTTAAAAAGACAAAAGAGTTTAATATGTGTATAAAGATTTATTTATACAAAACTTAAAGTTTCTCCTTTAAAGCACTATATAATTTATACAGTGTACATTTTGGAGCAATATGAATGTCCAACTAGAGCTAATTTTTATTTAGATATTTATAAACATAAACGTATGATAGAATACTAAGAAACATTCCAAATAATGATACTAAACAATGAATGATCTACAGACAGGTTGATACTATATTATTATATGGAAAACAATCTATTATGTGGATAGATTATTATAAATATGTACTGTCCCTGTGTATGTAGGTGTGCTACAGTAGTTAGAAAGAAATCTACCAAATTTTGTTAATTTTTTACAGTGAGGATGCTTATTTTTAATATGGTTACAATCACTTTACAGATACAATTTTTTATCATTATATAAAATATTTTATGGCAAAATAACTGAACAGTGGCAAAACAACTTTGGTTAAGCCAACCAATAAAATGTTCAAATGCGATGGATGTCCGTATCATGACTGGAGAATGTACATAGCATATGCATGGCAATTTAGACTATTATGAAAAGGCATTAGATCTACAATAGGAAAAAAGCTATGTAAGGCAAAATTGGGTGTCAAATGACTTTTTAAAACTATTAAACAGGCATTGAAGATAGATAGCTGATTTCGCCTAAGAATTTCTCCTGCCTTATATACCTTGAAGTAAAGTGGGACATTTGCCCAGTAACTGGACTGAATTAAGATATAATATAGATTATATAAAATTGTAGGATTATAAAATAGAAAGGAACATCCATAACCAACAAAAAAGACTACAGAGTTTTCTAAATAAGAAATACGAAATTTCATATATAAACTAACCTTTCTGTAAATTGAAATCTAACCTTGCAAAAGGAGATACATTGAAGAAAGCAACATTTGTTGAAATCGTAGACTTTGTGGATAAATGAAGCCTACAGATATTATCACCAATTAACAGTAAAAATTAGTGTGTACTCACTGAGCATCAATCACAATTCCAAACATTGTATACTAATTTATTCATTCTTCACAATTACTCTGAGTTAAGTGCTATTTTTCTTCTTGTTACAAAATGGAGGACCAGGAGGCACAAAAAAGTTAAGTAATTTTCTTATATTTTCTCAGGTAGTAAATGTAAATCCAGCATTTCAACCTGGGCTATCTGACTGCAGAGCCCATGTTTCTAAAGTGGTGCTTTTTCTATATAAGGTAAGATTTTTGCAGTAAATTAAAATCTATGAACAAATTAAGAGTATAATATCATGTTGATTAACATATGTAATGTATCTTTTACAGTTCATAATTGTGTAATTTGGATTTGATTTGAAATCTTCTTATGTGAAAATTTAAAAGGACCCAGAATATTTCTGTGTAAATAAAATCCAGTCATTAAAATTTACTCCATGTCATTTTTACTTTTGTCTTTTCTTTTCCTAAGTGGAAGTTAAATAAGAGTGAACTTTAAGTTTTACTTTACAATTAAACAAAGACAAATGCCAACTCTAAAGCAAGAACACTGCTAAAAATGTTTTAAAATCTTTTTCACTGGAACATTTCAGGGTTCCTGCTAAAATATAAAGAAAAGGACTGCCCTTAAAACCATTCTACAGGATAAAAAGACTTAAAGAGGAAATACTTAGTTGCAAAAACCTCAGAATGTGCCTCTCAAAGTAATTTTGTTGTTGTTGTTGTTGTTTTAAGTGTATTCTCTGAGTTCAGAATAAGTTCAGATGAATGAATGCCTGTCATTGAAAGAGCTTCGTAGTGTCAGGCCTAGCTGTTTTGGGGACTGTGCAGGGAATCAAGCTGTGCTACACATTGGGATCCCTGCCAAATGAATGACATTTCCTGAGAACCTAAGCAGAATTTTAAGAAGTTGCCTTGTCCTTCCTAAAGAGTTCGGTCAAAGGGTATTTAAAAAGAGAAAACACAGTCAATCTTACTAAGGATACTAGAGAGAAAAGCCGACAAATCTCTAAACTTAACTGAGCTGAAAATAAGCTATATGGGCAGTAGTAATACATTCTCAGCTTTTGTATGTTTTGATTTTTTTGTCTTTTCTCATTTAAAAGGAATCCAAATATTGTATATCTTTTCAAAATTCCCATTTTAGAAAACACATGAATAAACACTTTATATTGCAAAAGGACTTGACTAGAATTGGCCCTATTCTCACCAAAAATATATAAAAAATAGCATAGAATAAAACAATTTTAATTTTAAATGTAAAACTATCTGCATAGAGAATAATAAACATAAAAAATACTCAAGTGAGACCAATCTATTTGAGCTGTGATACATGATACTGAAACTGAAGTCTCATAGCAGCTGGGCCAGGAGAAGCTATCTCAGACACAGGCAAGATAGTGTCTAAATTAAACACCTTGCATAAAGCTAAGTGCCTAGAAGGCTTTGATTTATTAAGAATGCCAGAAGGATAGAAGAGGAAAGAGGCACTATTAAAAGTTATAATGGTTTATAATTTTCTCGATAGCAAGAAAAGAATATGAGACTTTATATGAAAGTTGTTTGCTGAGTCTGAGGCAAGATATCTTTTAAAAATAAAAAGCATATTACCAAAGACAAATAAATTATCTTATCAGTAACTATAGATAATAATACATATGTTAGAAGAAAAATCATATATATATATATGATTTTTTTTTTTTTTTTTTTTGAGACAAGGTCTCACTTTAGCACCCAGGCTGGAATGCAGTGGCATGATCTCATATCATTGCAACTTCCGCTTCCCAGGCTCAAGCGATCCTCCCACCTCAGCCTCCCAAGTAGCTGGAATTACAAGTGTGCACCACCATTCCTGGCTAATTTTTGTATTTATGGTAGAGACAGGATTTCACCATGTTGCCAGGCTGGTATAACAATATTTTGAATTAAAGAGTGGCTGACTATCACTTGTGAGTTCCCACCAAATAAACTACTAAAGTGTATTAATCTAGAAGAAACAGTAGAAATGCAAGAAGAAAGTTAGAAAAACAAAAACAATGTAGATTATTGGTAATATACTCAATAAGTGAATAAAAACAGAAAGTTCTGTTTAAATTTGAAGACATAATGAATCTCAAACTTCAGGTAACATAGCAGAGAAAAAGAAAATTGTATTGAAACTTTTAAAAATTCCTGTATTTTTTATAACTGTCTCTATTTTTTCTAAGGGAGATAGAGATGTTGGTTACATAACTTTGTGATATCAAGTGTGCATACTAAAAATTAAAGGGTTGCTGTTAAAAGAATATCAAAAGAGTATATATATTTCAAAAAGTGAATAGCAGATCAATGATCAATAAAAAACAAGAAAAATGAATAAAAAACAAAATATATAATACATTAAAAGAAAAACAGGATATTCAATGTAAGTGTTGATATCAAAACATACAAATAAAGGAAAAACCAAAACCAGCCAAAACGAAACCAAACTAACCAAAAAAATCACCTAGAAACAACAAATAACAATATGTAACATATTTTGAAGAAAAGTATGTCTTCTTTTAAAGAAATAAAAGTAGACCGAAACACAGGGAAAGCTGTATATTTTCAAGGCATCAGCATTATAGTGAGGTCAATTTCAAAGTAATCAAAGTGATTTCATAAATAAATTGATAGGATATTCTCAAAATTTACAGATAGGAGTATACGGTTGAGAATAACTAGAGTGGGCCAGGTATGGTGGCTCATGCCTGTAAGCCCAACACTTTGGGAGTTCAAGGTGACAGAATCGTTTGAGCCCAGGAGTTCCAGACCAGACCAGCCTAGGTAACATAGCCAGATCCCATCTCTATAAAACACACACATACACACACACACGTATATAAAAGCTGGGTGTGGTGGCACACACCTGTCATTTCAGCTACTCAGGAGGTTGATGCAGAAGGATTGTTTGAGCCCAGGAGATTAAAGCTGCAGTGAGACATGATCATACTGCTACACTCCAGCTGGGGTGACAAAGTGAGATCCTGTATCAGGAAAAAAAAAAAAAAAACAAAGCAGAAGACAAAAAGGAAGACAAAAAGGAAAAATAAAAAGAATAGCTAGAGTGATTTTGAAAAAAGAAGCAGGAACACAATTAGACATTAAACTCTTCTATTTTTCCAAAATGATGTATGCTAAATATGCAAAACACTTCTCCAATTGGATGGTAATTTAATCTTGGAAGTGGATGGCATTAACATCTTTCTATTTACTCTATCATAGAAATATTTCATAATATAAAATTATAAGATTTTTGATAATTAATATGTATTTATTACTAAGAAACCTAAACCTGACCTTTTCCCTACCTTTCTTCGAATTCCAGGTTTTATGATTCTAAAATAAATTGTTTCTCTTGTCCTCTAAGAATTTGATGTTTCTTAATCCTTTCTATATGTTGAAACTGAGCACTCTGGTGCAGATATTTTCTTGGATTAAGATCTTGGTTACTGATGTTCCTCATTGCTGGTGAGAGTTCTCTAAGTGTCTGCTCTTCAGAACCACATTTCTGTATGAATCACTCAACTATTTTCCGTCTCCCATTTAGGTTAATCCTTTCTTCAAATTCCAGGGTGGTAATCTCACACATCCAAATACAGGCCATAGTCTCTTTCAAAGCCGAGATAAAATGCTGATTGGAATAATATAACAATACTGTTCAATACCTTTGGGAATTCTTATTTAAAATTGTTCTTAGAAAGTCTGGCATAGCCTTTTGATTTATACGGTGATGTCAGAGCTTTTAGAATTAATTATTTCCGTCTATATATCTACCTATCTCTCATCTATCTATCTACCCATCTATCTCTGTAATCTCAAACACATTATATATAATTCAGGCATTCCTTTGGGGATATGTTTGATTTTAGGGAATAAACCAACAAAAATGTATTCTGACATTCAACTAATAAAATAAAAGTTAAATACTGTTTTGCTTAATTGGAAGGGGGCTGTAAAAACTTTAAAATTTCACAGCCTGAACTGGGATTGTAATCATTGTAGTTATGCATGCTATTTTAAGACCACTAAAATTTTTGATTGACATAATTATGAAATTCCTATTATAATTAAAGTAATTCAGAGGGTTAACAAAAATAGGTTTAGAAATGTAAAATTAATTACTTATTTCAATAACCTAATAATTGCAGCGAGCCTATGATTGGCCATGTACTTGATTATAAAAAAAAGAAAAAATTACTGTTGACTTTGATCCTCTCATATCCAAAAGAAACAAACAACAATACCTGTTGAGTGTTGAGAAAATACAAAATATAAAATTTTGATTAATAAGCAATAAAAAGTTACATATAGTACTTATATTTGCAAACACATGCAGACATGAAATGACTTTTTACATCCTTGAAGTAATTTTCACTCTCGAGTCTTTGAATTTAGAATCAGCTTTTAATTGTCATCCAAGTCAACATAATAATTCACGTTTTTAAAATAACGTGTCAATTATTTTGTCATTCCTGTGGTTACACTCTGTTTATGTCAACTAAAGCATATCAAAGAATTATATCTTTGAGCAATCATGTTGTCATTCATACATTGTTGCTTCTGAACTACATCATCAAAGCATTAACTATAATTACGTCTTGTAGTTTAGGCAAAGTCCAACTTCGGAAAGTGTTGGCTGATTATTAGGGATTCAGAACGAATCTTCCCATGGGATCATAATTAAACAAGGGATATGGGCACAGACTTCAAATATGGATACGTGCTGTTCCCATTATATACCCAAAGCCCAACATGGTTGCTGATGATATTGACAATAACTTTTCTAAAAGAGTTTGAATTCTGATGCCCAAACCTTATCACCACCATTTTCCTCCTTCCAAAATTCTCATAACAGGGCAAGCAATCAGGGAATTTGCGCCTTTATATTATAACCTCACCTGGAAATAGGAGTGGCAATTTCCTGTTTTGTAGGCCTCTCTTTCAGAGGCAGAATTGGAAGGTGGTAGTGTGGATGCAGAAAGTATCTGGAGGAGCGTGCAGAGGTGGCAGACAGGAAGAGTTGGAGCTTTGAGTCGATCTATGTGAGGTAGTGGAGGCAGGCTTAATTTTTTTTTAATGATTTTAGAAAAACAAATAGGAACTATTTATGTCAGATATTTATCCATGCCGAATATTTTTGTGTGATCAGTAAAAGCTTAGAATAAACTTACTGTTGCTTACTCTGTTCACAACAGCCAGTTTCCTAGTCTTTACATGTTTCTCAAATTACTCCTTTTAACTCAAAATGGAAAGGAAATGATCCCCAATATGTTTCACAAATTGTTACTGCTCTTCTACTCTCCCAGATTACTGATGTAGCACCCAGTGACACTTAACACATTTAAGTATCTGGAAAAAATGACTGTCTTAAAAGTAATGTTGTAGTTGATTCTGTAGCACCATTTCTTTAATGTCTCACTTGAAGCCACTTGCTTAAGTTAAATACTACTTCAGCTACACAGAGCACATCTGTAAACAACTTACTTCACTGCTCCTCTTAGCGAAGTATATTTCCAGCTCCGTCTAGCAGACTCAAAAAAGTTCTAATTGCCAGGCTCCAACTATTAATCAGCTCCATGACTACCCCAAACACAGACAGATGTATCCCTTGTAGGGATACAACTTATGCATGTTACTATCTTCCTTTTTTAATCAGAATTTTCACTGACGACAGAAAAAAAAAAAATATTTTAACATAGTGGCTAATGTATTTATAGTTAGAGGAAAACACGAGTTTCCAGCTATGCCATTTCTGTGTCAAAAACCACATTCATGAACTATTATGATGTAAAAAAGTTGACTTGGGGCCGGGCGCAGTGGCTCAAGCCTGTAATCCCAGCACTTTGGGAGGCCGAGACGGGTGGATCACGAGGTCAGGGGATCAAGACCATCTTGGCTAACAGGGTAAAACCCCATCTCTACTAAAAAATACACAAAAACTAGCCGGGCGAGGTGGCGGGTGCCTGTAGTCCCAGCTAATGTAGTCCCAGCTACTCGGGAGGCTGAGGCAGAAGAATGGCATAAACCCGGGAGGCGGAGCTTGCAGTGAGCTGAGATCCGGCCACTGCACTCCAGCCTGGGCGACAGAACGAGACTCCGTCTCAAAAAAAAAAAAAAAAAAAAAAAAGTTGACTTGGGTGTGTGAGTGCATGTGTTTATATATGAAGATACCTGTGTATGTATATGTGCTGGCACATGTTGACATGTGCATACCTGCAAGTAAAACTGTGAGCAGACGTGAAAAGAAGTAATAATATCTAGTTGTTTTGGCTTCTGTTTAGTTTGGAGTATGCTTCCAATAAACCTCTGTCTTAAAAAAAAAAAAAAAAAAACTGGGCAGTAAACTAAAAACACATTTGCTGAATAGAGTCAACTGCTGTTTTTCAATACAGTTATTTTCCTTTAAGCCACTTAGGTTTTTCAGAATATTACTTTACCAAGGACAAAATTGACATTAAATATTTTGCAAGTTCAAAGAAATAAGAGGATCTCTTTGAACCTGTCTTTCCAGAAAGGACTAAGTGGAATAGATTGGACCTGAACAGCTGGTCATAAAAGATAAAGATCATTGAGGCCAGTGAGAAGAAGCAGGGAGGACATTTTTGATCAATACTACCAGTTGTTAAAATAATTCTCAATCTTACTGCCTACTACCTTGAAGTACGTGATTGAAGACAAGAGGTACAGGAGCAAAATAATTCTATAAATACACAAACATGTATGATATTACCTATAGGATTAAGTTGTGATAGATTCTAGTACAGAGTCTCGGATGCTTTTTCAGCTGAAAATCATCTTCATACATACGTGTGTCTGGACAATTCTATCACTGAATCTAAACTTAAAGATTTTTTAGGGCCGGGCGTGGTGGCTCACGCCTGTAATCCCAGCACTTTGGGAGGCCGAGGCAGGCAGATCACGGGGTCAGGAGATCGAGACCATCCTGGCTAACACAGTGAAACCCCTTCTCTACTGAAAATACAAAAAATTAGAATTACCCAGGTGTGCTAGCGGGCACCTGTAGTTCCAGCTACTCGGGAGGCTGAGGCAGGAGAATGGTGTGAACCTGGGAGGCGGAGGTTGCTGTGAGCTGAGATAGCGCTACTGCACTCCAGCCTGGGTGACAGAGCAAGACTCCGTCTCAAAACAGAAAAAGAAAAGATTTTTATAGTTAAAATTATCTTAAACACATAAATGTAAAACATATATTACACATATAAATGTAAGTGCATATGCATGTACACATATGTCTATATACATGAATTTATATATATATGTACAGCTGTATCTGTATATTATGCATACTCACAAATATATATTAAAATCTATATTAAATTATCAACATAATTAATAATTTATAGACAATTTATTTTTAATAATTTATATAATTAATATAATTCTACTATACTGATTAATTGTATTATATATAATTACATTAATAATTTATAGTAACATAGCTATCATTATTATCATAATGTATTTTTTCATTTAACTGAGATTAAATATTAAATAGTCTTCAAATTACATTAAATTAAATATTAACATTAATATTTGATATTTGATTAGATTAAATATTGATATTCAATTATTATGATAGCAATATTAATAATTTAATATAGATTTAATATAGATTTTAATATGTATAATATACAGATACACCTGTATGTAATATACATTCATGAATATATAGATATGTGTACATGTGTATGCACGTATATTAATTAAATATTTACATATTAATATTAAAATTAAGTTGACATTAAATTTTAATATATATTAAAATATTAAAGTTACAGTCAAGGAAAATAGGAAGTATAATTGTACTCATCTTATTCTTACTTTGAAGTACTCATGAATTCAGACAAGTCAAATTTGAATTCGTGCTTCTAAATACTGACTCAAATCCAATGTTTTTTCAAATTGAATAGAGCTCTAATTTGAAATAATTACCCTTTTATCGTATCTCACTATTTGACCTCTAAAATACCCTCAACTACATTGTATTTGAGGCTATCATTAGAATTGGCTCTCAAATATTTTTAGATAGATGGATGATGAATGGTTGAATTGGTGAATAACTGATAGTAGAAGAATCACTCATTTTCTACTATCTTGTGAAAAATCAAAACACTCTGACTGTGGGAACACCTTTACACTTCACAGCATATATCCTTTTGAGATCTCTTCAGCTAGTTGTCTTCTTTATCTCAGTATGTCTTCTTGGTCTGGCACAGTGCTGGGCAAATAGTAGAATATCAATAACTTGTCTATTCAATTTATGCCACTTCCAAACTTAAGAAGTTATGACCTAGAGATCAGTATCAATTTAATAGAATGATTAGGTCAACTCTGTGAAACTAGTCCTTTTTCAGTTGTTTTTTTCCTGTTTATTTTATCTGTGTTTTGCAAATGATCCTGATTTGCTTTAGCATTCCTTCTTCTCCTTTCTGGGAAGTGTGCATCTGCTTCTGACATCTGTCTTCTATCTTCCTTTGTAAATTATGAAGTGCTGCCAACTCCTTTTATCAACAAATTACCCGTAGAAGCATTTAGAGGGCTATAATGATTCTTTGATTTCCTTTGATTCTTTATGAATTTGCAAAATGGCATGATGCTTATATTAGCTTTGTTTGTCCTTTCTTTTTCCATATTTAATATTTATAGTTGTCAGGCCCAGATGGTGTACTTTGTTATGTCCTGAAATGTTGCTATTTTTTTATTCCTTAATTACAGTAATGTCAATCTGTAATATCCCCAGCCTCCATCTCTAGTTGACATTGTAGATTTCACATGTCGTATTATTTATTGAACAGACTGTATGTTTGACACTGTAAAATATACAGTATTTTTTTCTTAACCTTGCTGCTTTTTCATATTTGTCTACATCAACCATTTGCTTTTTATCGCTTTTTATCATTACATGATGCCCTCGATGTATTGTACTTTTTAAAAATCTTGCAGATATTTAGATATAGATAACTCCTCATAGACAAGACATGGGATGATAAAAAGAAAACAATTGTTTCATGGTAGCGATGAGACGCCTTGTTGAAATATATGCAAACAAATCTTTTTTTTTTTTTTTTTTTTTTTTTTTTTAATATCTGGAAGGGGCCTTCTTTTTTTTTTTTAAGACAGAGTTTCACTCTTGTTGCCCAGGCTGGAGTACAATGGCGTGATCTCGGCTCACCGCAACTTCTGCCTCTTGGGTTCCAGCAATTCTCCTGCCTCAGTCTCCCAAGTAGCTGGGATTACAGGCATGCGCCACCACACCTGGCTTATTTTGTACTTTTATTAGAATCGGGGTTTCTCTGTGTTGGTCAAGCTGGTCTCAAACTCAGGACCTCAGGTGATCCACCTGCCTCGGCCTCCCAAAGTGCTGAGATTACAGGCTAGAGCCACGATGCCCGGACTGGATCCCTTCTAATAATGTAATATTTGATAAAGAAAAGTTGACTATTTCATTTCAAATTTGACAGATTTTGTAGTTTTAAAAAATGCATTTTATAAAAGCTTATATTGAAGAGCCTGATTCATATCATTAAAAAAACATTGATTTGTTTTCCTTAACTTATTTGGTTTTCATTACTAGATTTTGATCCAGATCTCATTTATACTCAAATAATCTGTGACAAATTCATACCACTCATTTTCCTCAGAAGCTTGTATAAAATTTACGAGGACTTTACACGTCAATCTCTTAAGGTCTTGTTATTGAATTCTATTCTAGACTTCCACAAAGGCTTTTCGTTCTCCAACTCCATTTAAATTTTGTAAATGCTAATTTACAGAGTTTATTCTAATTAAGTTGAATGTCCTATATCAATAATCATCCAAATAACATATCATTCTTAATTTCTTCATTTAGCTAGATTGTATTTATTTATTTATTTATTTATTTATTTATTTATTTATTTTGAGATGGGGTCTCGCTCTGTTGCCCAGGCTGGAGTGCAGTGGGGCGATCTCAGCTCACTACAAGCTCCGCCTCTTGGGTTCTTGCCATTCTCCTGCCTCAGCCTCCCGAGTAGCTGGGACTACAGGTGCCCGCCACCTCGCCCGGTTAATTTTTTTTTTTTGTAAATATTTTTAGTAGCTATGGGGTTTCACTGTGTTAGCCAGGGTGATCTCAATTTCCTCACCTCGTGATCCACCCACCTCGGCCTCCCAAAGTGCTGGGATTACAGGGGTGAGCCACTGCACCCGGCCCATTTAGCTAGATTATTAAGGAATCATCTTGGAGCGTTCTCTCACAAATTCCCTGAGGGACAGACCTCGAAATAGAAGCATCCTATTCATATAACAGGGCCGGCTCTGGGCAACAAAGTTAGTACTTTGCCCTTGGATTCAACATCAAACAAGATTACAAAGATTTCTCAACTACTACACCTGACAGTGCAAGCCACCTTTTAAAAAGAAATTTGCAGTGTCACTAGAGACTGCTTTTCTCTGAGCTCAATGAGAGCCCTATACACATATCAGAGGGTGTTCTGTGACGCTTTGTTTTTCCTGTCTATTGTATCATTTTGTGTGTTCTAATTTCAATGTAGTACACAGGATCAAGAGCACTCTAAAATTATTACTTTAGAAGAATGACTGAGATTATGAAATATTTTTAAGTTAGCATTTTATTTTGTATTTAATTTGGAATATGTGAAATCACAATATATTTTTCCTAATATGATTCATATAAACAACACATAATTATTGAACTCTTACCCTATCCTAGGCAAAAATATTTACACATACA